ACATCTTGCTGCTGCAGGATCAGAAGATATTGGCCCTGGAGGACTTGGTGCAGACCCTCCAACAACACCAGGGTAAGAGATCCTGTTACCCCTGATCTGCACCCCCCAGCCCCCATCAGGCACACCTCTAGGCCCATGGCTCCTGGGAGCTTGGATGGTGACTTCTGGTATCAGGGCTCCAAGAGCCTCCAGCTGACTACTTGGTGGGGTCTGGACAGCTGAGGCCAGAGAGGGGCAGTGACACATCCAGGACGGTACTGGAGTCATTTAGTGCCCTCCTACATGGGACGGAGTCCCCTGAGCACAAGTGTGCTACCTCAAGCATGGAGGAAACGCAGTTCTGAGGGGAGCGGTGGCCTCCACTGGATTGTGGGGAGGCCAAAGAGATAGAGGCCAAGAGGCAGTTCCCTGGGGGTCCCTAGAACAGCTTGTGCAGATGACCCTCAGGCTTGGCAGCCTTTGTGCTGGGGCAGCTGAAGCCTGTCTACATCTTCTCCTGAAGGCGAGGAGACCCAGCAGCGGCAGGAGGAGCTGGAGGCCATGTGTGAGCAGCTGCAGCGGCAGGTCGGAGAGATGGAGGTGAGGGGCAGGCCCGGGCAGCAGGCAGTCGGCCAGCGGCCCCCAACTCTGGGCTGTCTGACCGTCAGGAACGGGGTCCCAACCCACCTCCTGGGGCCCCTCCTTGCCCACATACCACCCAGGGGCCCCGCCCTGTGTTTCCCTACCTGGGACTGACCCAGAATTTAAAGAGCCAGGAAGGTGACTGGTGTCAGCCGCACCCCTCCTTACAGGCCTGAATCAAAGTCTGAACCCTCCCCTCCCTGCTTAATAGACCTCATGGCTCCCCATGGGGCTAAATTCAGAGCGCTCACTGTGGCCCTGTGTGCCAGCCCCTGCTGCCCCTTCAGTCTCCTCCTGAGCCACTCGCTTCTTTGACTACTTCGAGCTCTTTCCCACCTCAGGACCTTGGCTCATGCTGTCCCCTCTGCCTGCATGTTCTCCTCACCTCCTGCTAGCAAGTTTCCACCCATCCTCAGCCATTTCCTCAGGGGGCCCTGCCCAGTCTCTGACAGCTTCTGAGTGCCTCGTGTCTTTCCCCTGTGGGACTGTGAGCTCCGCAAAGGAGGGGTCATTTCTCTCCTGTTGGTCGCTGTGCACCCAGGACCTAGCACGGACTTGGTCGAGGTTGTCCCCTGCCTCTGGGCATGGCCTGACACTCGCCCAGTGTCTTGGTAGTCCCAGTCACCTTTCTTCCTCTCACACACCCTCAAACAGCAAGGCTTCAACTGGAGGGTCACTAGGGGCAAGGAAGGGTCCCAGGCACATGTGTGTCCTC